TTTTTTTCACTTAACAATATATCTTAGAAATCACTCCCTATTATGTCTCCCTATAGAGATCTTCCTAATTTATAAGGTTGTTAAGTACCCTTTTTTTTTCTCTCTCTCTCTCTTCGTGCTGGAGCATGACCTTGTACACACTGAGCTACCTCCCCAGCCCTAGTACTTCATTTGTGATGAGCCACATTTGAGCCAATTCACCTCCTATGAAGAAACATTTAGATTTGTAACGATCAGAAACGCTACAATGAAAAACATAGTATGTAGTTATTTTCCTGTTGCTGGAAGTGTATCTTCAAGACAGATTCCTCGAAGTGGAATTGCTGGGTCAAGCTGCGTGTGTGGTCTTGTTAGGCTGCTGCCAAATTCCCTTTGCAGCATGCATTCCCGTCAGGAATGTATGAGGGTGTCCAGAGCCCTCAGATGGGATGTCCCGCATGTCTGTCTGGGATTTTTCCTCTCCACCTCTCTACCCTTAGGACTGGTGCTTCCGCCCCCATCACCTCTATCCGTGCCCCTCCCCACCTCCTTCCCCAGCTCGTCCTGGTTTCCACCTCCCTCCCTGGACACAGGACTTGGGTGGCACAATAGCTTAGATGTGAGACTCACTTGGAGTGGCAACCACACTGACACTCACACACCCAGAAGTCCCTGGGTGAGAGATGAGACGAGGCTTAGAGCAGAGGTGCTGGGATCCAGGAGCGCTGAAGCAGCTAGGGGGCACAGGACCAGGCCCTGGGCTCAGTGGGAGGGGGAGTGGCCAAGAGTCAGCGGAAGGGGTTCCACATCAGCCTCCTCACCAAGCAACTCCAAGTCCACAGAGAGCCTGGGTCCCAAATTAAGAGACCTGCACCTGATCTTGGGCAGTCACTGATTCTGAGTGGTTTTATATACTCCTTTTTTTGGGGGGAAGGGGGGTACCGGGGATGAACTCAGGAGCACACTGAGTCCCATCCCCAGCCCTATTTTGTATTTTATTAGAGACAGGGTCTCACTGAGTTGCTTAGCACCTGCCAAATTGCTGAGGTTGGCTTTGAACTCGGGATCCTCCTGCCTCCGCTTCCCCAGCCGCAGGGCTTACAGGTGTGCGCTACAGCACCCAGCTTAAATTCCTTTTTTTAATCAAGAGAAACTTAATTCTTTTTTTTTTACTCAGAACCTCAGTATGTAAAACATAAAAACCTGACTGTTGGGAGTGTAGCTCAGTGGTAGAGCATGTGTACAGCATACACAAGGCCCTAGATTCAATCACCAGCACCAAAATTAAAGAAACAAACTAAAAAGGACTGCTGTGAGTGACGGTGGCTGCAGAGTCCCCCAGGTTACAGTGTGAAAGTGTGGCTCATTCACATGACTTCAAAAAGCCTTTGAGGGGCTGGGGTTATGGCTCAGTGGTAGAGTGCTTGCCTCACATGTGTGAGGCACTGGGTTCAATTCTCAGCACCGCATATAAATAAATGAATAAAATAAAGGTCCATCAACACTAAAAAATATTAAAAAAAAAAAAAAAGCCTTTGAGCTCCACCAGGCTAGAGAGTGAAACATGCCTTGGCCTGAACACAGCCCCATCAGTTCCCCAAGCGCTGTTTCTCTGGCTGTTTCCAGACCTCCATCAGAGGGCAGAGGATGGCACATGCCCTGGCCTCACAGGGAGGCAAGAGTGAGAGCTGTGAGGACGGAGATGGCAGGGCTGCCACCCAGCCCCTGGGAGCTGCCCACCCCCCCCCCCCCCCCCCCCCCGCAAGCACCTTCAGAGGTGTCAGGAGAGGAACAGCACTTGTGGCGTGAAGCAGTCAGCCTGGGACAGCTGCAGACTTGACACTGTACTTGTGGAAGCTGAGCTGTTAGGCGTGGGGAGGGGGGACGGAGGCAGGCAGCAAGGACTCAGAGGTTCCCGTTGCCCTAGACTGGGCGGGGATGGGCAAGTCAGGTGCAGGGGTTATTCAAGTTACTGCAGCTCTTGAGGCAAAGGGAATGGATGGGTACAGGCCTCAAGGCCCTTCCCAGACCGTCTCTCCAGGACACGCTAGTTAACAGTTCAGCTTACAACAGGGTTTTGGCTGGGCAACAGACTCAGGCAGCAGCCAATATCCTGGAAAAAGGAATGGACTGGGACTGGGGAGATAGCTCAGTGGTATAGCACTTGCCTAGCACACCTGAGCCCCTGGGTCCCATCCCCAGCCCCCCCCCCAAAAAAAAAAAAAAGAGAAAGAAAGAAAGGAAAAAGAATGGACCCTGAGACTGGGGTTCAAAGCCTGGACTACCCCCTTCCTAAACGTGTGATCTTTGTGAGGCCATTTCCTCAAAGTGTGTATGTGTGTTTTACTGAAGAT